TAAAATACAAATTAATGATGGCAATAATACCTGAATTTACTACTAATGTGTAATAATACCATAACTCTTTAGAACTGAGATCATGAAAAGCAATTAATAATTTGTCAAAAGATGTTACTTTCAACTGTAAGCATTACAAACCTGTTTGAACATCAATAACCATCTGATGGCCCCCTCTCATTCCTGGCCGGTTGTCTTCTCCATCACCTGAACCAGAAACAAAGTTTGCTTTTAAAAGCAATAAAGAACAACTGCAAACCTACAGTAACTTTTAAGTCTGTACTGAACAACAAAAATAACCCACAATTACTCTTTCAACATATTAAAAATGAGTAAAAGCATTGATTAAAAAAATAGTACAACTTAAATATATGTTTGTAATTATTGTGATCTTCATTCCAATTGCCTTCAGGCTATTAATGCAATCATGTCAAAGTGCATTTTGGTTGTTTTTGCAGTACTAGGGACTAAACTCAGGATCTTGTGTTTGCCAGACACTCAAGCTGCTGAGCTATATGCCTGGCCCTCAAGTATCAAAGTGAAGGTACACAACAATAACAAAATCAAGTTTCTTTTTTTTTTTTTTGGTGGAACCAGGGATTTGAACTCAGACCCCTGCGCTTGCCAGGCAAGCACTTACTCTACTGAGCCATCTCCCCGGCCCCTCAAAATCAGGTCTCATGTCTATATTTCAGATAGCTTCTTAATACAATGAGCAGTTTTAAGGTTCATAAAAACTTGCTACAGAAAACTAAGATGCTCTCAAGTTTTACATTAATGATTACTATATTTAGTTTGTGACAGCATTTCAGAAATCAGTCCCTATATAATCTGATCAACTATGGTGAACACTGACTGAAACACTTTATGATTTACTTCACTTTGACTTTTTTACTTTTACTCAGAGCTTAGCAGTTAGGTAAAAACAATCAGTGGAAAATAACTGGTATATTTACACCTAATCCTACTTTACATTAAGTCTTATATAAAAGAAATAACTTTATTTAAATAGCTCAAAATGTAACACACCTCTCTCTCTCTCTCTCTCTCTCTTTCTTTGGTACCAAGAATTGAACTTAGAACCTTGTGCTTGCCTGGCAGATGCTATGCCCCTAAGCCCATACCTCAAACCCTTGTATGTTTTCTTAATACCTTTCTTGTTGACTGAAAGATGTAAACTGGCTAATAAGGTTCCTTGTTTCACTTACATAAAAGTGAAAACTTTAATTTATTAATCTCATAGAGCTACTATAAAAACAACTGAAATATCAGTATCTGTAAACTCATGTGCCATTTACAAATAACATGTTCTAAGAAACATGTCATTGTGTGAACACTACAAAGTATATTTACACAAACCAAATGGTACAGCCTACTACATGTCTAGCTACAGGGTAAAACCTATTGCTGCTAAGCTACAAACCTGTAGAACAGTGGTGGCAAACCTGTGGCACACATGGGTTGTTTGCATCATTAAAATCTTGTCATGGTTTGTGTCTAGTTGTCCTCCCAAAGCCTCATGCAGTCATGTGGCAGCTTCTGGAGTTTGTGATTGATTAGTGTGGGTTTTTATGTTGCACCTGCCCTGGGGCAGGTATTTGCATTATAATGTAAGGAGGGCAGAGAGGCTAGCTAGCTGCCTGAGCTGCTGCCACTCCTTTAGCTCTTGCCCTTTGCCACCACCATGAAAGGTTGCTCTCTGCTGGTGTGCCACTCTGCCTTGAAGTCAGCTGAGTATGGACTGAAACCTCCAGTTAACTGTGAGCAAAATAAACCTCCACTTCCTTCATTTTGAATGTTGGGTATTTGTCCCAGCAACAAGAGAACAGTAACTGAGACAATGCTCTAAAAGGTTCGCCATCACTGTTGTAGAGCATGTTCCTATACCAGATATTTTAAGTGTAACACAGTGGTTCAATACTTGTGTATGTAAACACACCGAAACAGAGAAGAGGTTCAACAAACATACCAAGTGATAGGACTTCTTAGTTTCCATATAAATGTATGAAACCATCACTGTTAACCAAAACACTATTACACAATACATGACTATATACTGATAATTTGATGGAAAAACAAGCCTTTGGTTTAGTGGATATTTGTGGCTACTCACAAATTCCCTGGAAAATGTTTTTCATTTCTTTCTTTCTTTTTTGCGGAACCGGGGATTGAACTCAGGCCCTTGCGCTTGCCAGGGAAGCACTTATTCCACTGAGCCATCTTCCAGGCCTCTTTTTCATTTCTAATCGGTGGCTTTTTAGATTTTTCAGTTGAATGTCATTAAAGTTTTGCCCTTTTCCTTTTCCCTTCCCAGTCAGTACTGTCACTTTCAAGAAATGATAAAATAGGAGCTGCGGAGATAGCTCAGTGGCATAAGCGCCTGCCTGGCAAGCACAAGGTCCCAAGTTCAATCCCCAGTACTGCCAAGAGAAAAAAGATTAAATAAATACAATGTGCTTGTTTTTTATTTATTTATTTATTTATTTATTTATTTATTTATTTATTTATTTATTTATTGGCAGTACTGGGGATCAAACTCAGGACCCTGCACTTGCCAGGCAGGTGCTTATGCCGCTGAGCTGTATCCCCAGCCCCCTATATATTTATTTTAAATTATTATTTTCCAAATATACATGTGCCTTTAAAAAAAATTATACATAACTGGTAAAGTGAATGATGTTCCTGTTGACACAAATTATGGAAGTTCAAGAATAACTTTTCTCTCCATATTCATGTCTCATATGAATATCCCATAGAATTTCTTTCTTTGAATGAAAGTAGTGCAGTGAAAAATTGCTACACTTTTCACTGTATTAATTCTCTGGCAAAGCACTTTATGCAGAAAAAAAAAAGTGATAAAAACTTCCCTCTGTACAAAAAAATGCAATCAGTACATATACAGAAGAGACAAAAACTGCCTCTCTATAAAAATAATGGGTTAATGAAAAAGTCTCAACTCTGACACAGATTCTAGCTACTGATGAAAACAGTCCTTATCAAAACCTAATGTCCTCTGGGATATATATTTCAAGTAAGAAAACATAAGCCCCAACCCTTAAGGCTCCAAACTCACTATGTTATGCAATATAAATGCCTGTCAAGATTTAACTGTACTATATTTTTATTAGATTATACTAGTTTTTAATCAGTATCTGGTTAGAGGTTCCACACTCTTATAATGGTCTGCCCCTTGTTTTTCTAAGAAGCTCTATTAAGATTAGAGAGCAATTCTGCAGATCTTAAAAAGTTTTTCAGGAACACATATACTTCAGCTTTCCAATTGTAATACTTTTTTTTGGGGGGGGTCTGACACAGTGTTGTTTTTTTTTTTTTGCTATATAATTCAGACTGCCTGGAACTCACTGTGTAGCCTTGGCTGGTCTCACACTCACAGCAATCCTCCTGCCTCAGTCTCCCAAATTCTGGGATTACAGGTGTGCACTAACACACCCAGCCATAATTTTAATATTCTTTAGGAAAGTAGTTCATAATATGTATTCTGTGGGGATAAATCCACAACTGACCAACCTTCTATTGTAGTAATAAAGTAAAAGCTTTTCAGATACCAAAGTAGGACTGGAAAAGTAGTTAAGTAGTAGAGAATTTGCCAAGCATGTACGAGAATATAGGTTTGATATACACCAATGGAAAGAAAAAAAAAACCCACCATCTGTGTACCATCTGTGTATGTGTATCTGCCATATAGTTAAGGTACATACACATTGTTTTAAATGCCTACTTTATTTTATTTTTATTTTTTTTGCAGAACCAGGTGTTGAACTCAGGCCCTTGGGCTTGCTGGGCAAGCACTTATTCTATTAAGCCATCTCCTCAGCCCCCTAAATGCCTACTTTATATGAACAGAGTACCACACACTTGAGCTATCTTGGGAAAACTGAAGGGGCTGAGACACTAAAGAAAAACCATCCAATCTAGAAGGCATGACTTACCTTTGGTGCTTTTGGGAATGATTTGACTCCATCGTGGTTTATATTCCTGTTGACTGATATACTGATTGAACAAGCCATCTACAAATGAATGAGAAAGAATTGTACCTCAGGAGACTTTTTATTATGAAAAAAAAAGATTAAAATATACAGGCCTACATTAAGAATAATTACAAGTATGTCACTAGTATAACAGCACATTTCCACTAAATATTCATCACTTCAGGTTCTCTTCATGCTTCCATAAATATAAATAGTAAAATGTCAGTTGAGGAGCCGGGGAGATGGCTCAGTAGAATAAGCCCTTTCCCTGGCAAGCGCAAGGGCCTAAAATCTCCGATTCTGCTAAAAAAATAAATAAATTGCATTTGTGGCAGGTCGTATTAATGTATTATGTTTCCCAACATTATTGCACCTATTACATATGGCATAATATGTATTATATATGGATAACTACTGGTATTAACAGAGGATATACAGACCATGAAAGAGGGGGACATCACCTGGGAAGGGAAAAAAAGTATAGGATAACTTAAGGCTTTAAAACAGAAACAGAAAATCAACTAGGGATGGCCAGATATCTCAGCAGATTAAAGCACCTGCTTAGGCAGATGCAGGGACAGGGAAGTGGGGTTAGGGGGGAACAGGGGGTTGTCTTGATCTCCTTTGTGTAGTGCTGGCTCTGCCCCCGGGACACACTAAGAAGACAAATGAGACTGAGCATGGTGGCGCAGCCAGTAATTCCAGCACTTAGGAGACTGAAAATAGGAGGATTACTATGAGTCCAATCTGTGTGGTGAGACTCTGTACTAAATACAAAAAGAAAAAAGAAAATGAACTAACTTAAAAACTCCCTGCATGAATGTTCTAAAAGTTACCAAAACAAAGACACACAGCCTTTAAAAACTGTTTCTGGCATTTATATAAGTATAATAGGAAGAGAAATGGCTAAGATCAGGAAAGTTCCACTTAATTCTGTTATGTGAGTTCCCTCACTCATCTTTATTTTACTATCATATTTTTAATCTTTATGCCCTCAAATGAAACGGATTCATTGCACTCCAATCCATTCCCCTCAACACTGGTCCGTGTCAGCACTTTTTGTTACCAAAGTACAATGGACCTAGAAAAGGAATGGAAGACTAACAGCATTAGTTTAGGCACTTTGTTATACATCTTCAAGAGAACATACAATTATTACATCTTGATGGTGCTATTTCCATTATTAAATAAGTTTATTTTTAGTCCAAAACTACATAGCAGAAGTACCAGCAGTGAGATAGTGTGATGGCATATTTCTTTCTTTCTTGACTTTTATTAGTATATACTTACTACATAATGATTACATTCACTGTAGGGGATTAGTAAATATACATAATAATTTTAATTCTCTTCTTTTTTAATCCATCCATCCTTTTTCTATTTTTCCAGCTTCAGATTCATTTATTTATAAGACCTTATAAAGTTAATTATCATAAGTACAGATTGAAAACTAGGCTAATAGGCCAAAGAAGATAAAAAACATGTAAAATAACATTGTCCACACTGGATTACAATACCTTTTCCACCTTTTATCCTATTATCTGTCTTTTCTTTCTTTCTTTTTGTGTGTGTGTGCAGGGTCTCACTATGCAGCTCAGACTAGTAGTGATCCTTTTGTTTTCTGCCTCCCTAGTGCTGGGATTACAGGGGTGCGCCACCATGCCCAGACTCCATCGCTGGCTCAGTGGACCCAGGGGTAGAGGTGAGGCCCGGCACAGCATGTGGTTTGTCTTTTATTTCATGCTCTATATAATACTGAGTTTTAAAGGTAAGAGAAACCATGCAATATTTAAGCTTGTGTATATGAATTACTTCACTTAACATTATGGTCTCAAAGTACCTCCATTTTCCTACAAATGATTCAAGTTTACCCTTTTAATGGCAAAGTAGTACTGCACTGTATATAAATACCACATTCATTTGTTGATGAATATATAGGCTATTTTCAAGATCTAGTTATAATGAACTGTGCTGTTACAAAAATAGGCATCTATATATCACTGTGGGACATCATTAATTCTTTTAGGAAGATACTTAGAAGGGGTATAGCTGGATTAAATGGAATTTCTATTTTAGTTTTTGAATCTCTGAAATGATTTCCATACTGTTTATATTAGCTTACAAGCCCATCATCAATGGAGAAGGCTTCCTTTCTCCCCACAACTTTGCCAGCATTTATCACTGGCTTATTTCTTTTCTTTCTTTCTTTCTTTTTTTTTTTTTCAGAACTGGGGATTGAACTCAGGCCCTTGCACTTGCCAGGTAAGCACTTATTCTACTGAGCTATCTCCCCGGCGGGGCTTATATCTTGATGGTAGCCATTTTTTCTCAAGTGAAATGGAATCTCAGTGTTGTTTTAACTTGCATTTCTTGAATGGCCATCAATGGTGAACATTTTTTCACATATTCACTGGCAATTTGTACTATTTCATCTGAAATGAACTAACTTAAAAAGTTAGTTCTTTCTTATTTCTCATACCTACTTTAAATAAGGTCTTTCAATCTGTGAGATCTGATTTCTCAGTGGTTCTTTATATATTTTAAATATCAGTCCTTTGTCTGAAGACTAGTTGGCAACATTTTTAAAACTTTTTTTAATCAGGCTATAAGTTGTGTCTTCACTCTCTTAGCAGTTTCCTTTGCTATGCAAAGAAATAGTATTTATTGAATACTTCCCAAATGGTAGAATCTGTGCTGCTTTACATTAAAAAAAAAAAAAATTCAAAAACATCCTTAAGAACATTAAGCCCTAAGGCATTACCATCTCTAGTTTACAAGTATGCAAACACATATTTAGAAAAATTCACAAACTTAACCAAAATCACATAGCTCTGATGTAGTAGTGGGTTTGGAACTTAGTTTTTACTATCCTTACTTCTGAATCTTTCATCAAAATATTCTTATTCTACTTCCTAAGAGGAGTTGTTACACTACTCATTATAACTGTATTTTACGCCCTAAACCATGCACCTCAACAAACATCTATTTAGGAACAGTATGGAACCCTCAACAAAGATCTGTTTAGGAATAGTATAGAACCCAATTCTCTAGCAGTATATCGCTGCTTGCAAATAGACATACAAGTAAGAAAAATAATCTAATTTTATTCCTCCAGACATTTTCATATTCATATGCAACATACAACTGCACAAGTCAATTTATAGAGATAAGAGAATAAAATTGATACTATAATGATGGGAGAATGGAGAAGGATAAAGAAAACTGTACAGAAAAATCAACCGATCATAAAATCTATCTTATCTCTGTACTTCTAGTTATGTACCATTATATTTTTCCTTACCACACTGGGACTTTATTTTACATGTATTCAGATGCATCATAATTCATGGCTACCTTTACTACAAATTCTCATTTGAGTCTGCTTTCAACCTAAATAAACATTTCACTTTCTTTGACTGAAAACAAAGACTCATCTAAAGAATTTATAAGTAAAACTGCTCCATGACTTACATACTTGTCAGTACCATGCAATTTAGATAAATCTCCTTAATCCTTTTTTTCCTGAGTAATTTATAAAGCTCAGTTGCTACAAACCTTCTTAGCTTTCAAGGGTTCAGCTTAGTTTCACAGGCAATTCCATCCTATATGATCATTAAATTTCTTTATCTGTGCAATTTCTACAATTCTTGTGAAAATAAAATTCCTTTTAAAATTAGCAGTCTAAATTGTATTTACACTTTACAGTACAAAGGAAATGTATATTTACAACTTATTTTAGAGTGTTTGCAGTGTGTCACTTACTTCCTGATGAGCCTTTCCATCCATTCTTGCCCTACCAAGCCTACTCTGAATAAAATTCTTCTTCCATTGTAACAGTTGGAAATTTATGCAGGTAACATGTGGGGCTCCTGTTCACAGTAATATGATAATAGTGAAAAATATTAATAGTGAATTTAAAATTACATAGAAATAAAACAGTAATGAAATATTCAACTTTTTTTGAAAAAGAACAAAAAATATTAAATGCTTTCTTATTTTTATTTACTTTATTTATTTATTTATTTAATATTTTTAGGGCAGGGTCCACAGGGTGTTCAGGGTCTCACTACTAGATCAGACTTGTAGTGATTCTCCTGTTTACAGCCTCCCAAGAGCTGGGATTACAGGCATGCACCACCAGTGGCCCAGTCTCAATAGCCATCTCAGTATGTCCTGGGGGCGGGGCCAGTCCAGCAGGCCCAGGGATCAAACCCTCAGCCCCTGCACCTTCTTGCAGGCACTTTAATCCGCTGAGCTATTTGGCTGGCCCTTTAAATGCTCTTTTAAAACTAAATTAAAATTATTCACACCTAGACTTTTAAACTATATGCTAACTCTACATAATGTGAAGTATAGCAAATGATGACCATATATAGAAAAATGGAAGCTAAGGAAACTTCAGATTGAAAAATACAAGGCAAAAATGAGAAAAGTGGGCCAGGGAAATGGCTTGGTAGAATAAGCGCTTGCCTGGCAAGCACAAGGGGCTGAGTTCAAAACCCCAGTTCCACCAAAAAAAAAAAAAAAAGAAAAGTAGTAAGATTGATTTTTTAAAAAATGTTTATTTAGCACAGGATCTACACAGATCAGACACACAGTGATCCTCCTGTTTTTTAGCCTCTCAAGCACTGGGATTACAGATGCACACCACCACACAAGATTCACTTTTTAACAGCAACCAACTGCCACATTACTGAGGTCTCACATGCTAGTCTGTTATAAAACTTTTGAGTGATCAATTTCCTCATATGCAGAACTAAAACTTCTTAGTTGGATGGGGCCTGCAGTTCTTTCTAACTACCATGATATTCTGTTAGAACCAGTATATTTAACACTGTGGTTCTGCTTGATTTCACTCGCCTATGTTCATTTTAGAAAAGTTACCCTATCTTTTTCCTTAATCATTTTGTAATTCCGATCTTAAAAGAAAACGGAGAAATTCACTGGGGAAAATCTTTTAAAATTTCCAGAGGCAGTGGATACAGCAACAATTCTAATTAAAGAATTTAATCCATGATCTTTATATGATTCTCAACACT